CTACAGTTGCTGTGAAATATTCCGAAGAGACAAGGGTGCCCTCGTTCCTGAATGTCTCTTCGGAATATTTCACAGCAACTGTAGTTTTATGAAGCCATATGATCTTCACCATCATACTCTGTGATGAATGAAACTTTGAAGACATCTTATTGTTCCACGAGGTCCCGTTCAGATGAAGCCAGTTGAAACGAACTTGTATCCCGGAAAACTTCGTCAACCTGCACTTTTTGGGACCTCCCTTCTTTCTTCTTCATATCATTGTCATTTATACATGGGTTGATATCAGTACTGTAACGTTTCCCCCCCATGATTTTGGGCATTGATTTTGTATAGCGCTTGCACACAGCTTGCTTTTTCTTTTGCATTCGGGCCCCTGTATTTAAGAACATAGGAGAAACCATGTTGGATCCAGTCCAAAACTCTGTGTCACACAGTGGCCAAAACCCAGGTTCCATCAGGAGGTCCACCAGGACAGCCAGAACTCCAAAAACTCTCCCACAGTTGTTGGGTTTGATTCCCCACTCCTCCACTTGCACCTGGCTGGACGGCCTTGGGCAAGCCGTAGTTCTGACAAGAGCTGTCCTTGAAAAAGAGCAGTTTCTGTCAGAGCTCTCTCAGCCCCACCTCCCTCACAGGGTGCCTGTTGTGGGGAGGGGAAGGGAAAGGAGTTTGCAAGCCGCTCTGAGACTCCTTTGGGTAGTGAAGGGCGGGGTATAAATCCAATCTCTTCTTCTTCTTCTTCTTCTTCTAAATGCCTTTTCATTTCGAAAAGGAGCAGGAGGCAAGAAAAGTTAAAATCATTCTCCCTGAAGTCCGACTTTTCTAAGCACAGGGAATTTTTTTTTTGTCTGCCTGGGGTGAACATCAAGAAAAACAACCCCACATCTCCAGTTTGAAATGTGCTTAGGGGCTCAGATCCAAAGTACCACCAGTGGAGTGAAGCTGTGCTGGGGGAATTTCTTGCCTTCCTTGCCCCATAAGGGTTCTCTTGAAATGTACTCCTGAAGGTCAAGACACCTTTGGAAACAGCCTGTGGAAGATACAAGTGAAGGTCCACAGTGGGAGGTGGTAATTGGTGAAAACTGCCCTCCCCTTCTCTTGCCTCCAGAAGTGCCACTCTGTTGGTATTTTGTTGCCTTCGGCTCCAACGCACAGCTCCAAGAAAGGCCATGCCATATGATTAGGCGGAGAGCGAAGACTGTTTTTTAGAAGGTCTGACTAGGTGTCACGTACACGAAGCCACAAGAGTTCCTTCGTTTTTCAAAGGGAAAAGCTTCTTTGGTAGACAGTGATTGGAGTGGAGAAGGCAGGGGCAGGCCTTTGACCACCTGCCAGTTTCCTCTTCTAAATTTCTCCCCCAAACGTTTCCCTCTGTGGGGCTCTGGGCAAGTGCTTATGAAGAGACTTTAGACGGCAGAGGCTGGGAGCAGAGGAGTGGAAAGAAAAAGAGTTGCTTCTTATACCCCATGTTTCTCTCTCTTAAGAAGTCTGAAAGCAGCTTACAATCGCCTTCCCTTCCTCTCCCCACAACAGATACCTTGTGAAGTAGGTGGGGCCGAGAGAGCTCTGAGAGAACTGGACTGGCCCAAGGTCACCCAGCAGGTGTCATGTGGAGGAGCAGGGAATCAGACCCAGTTCTCCAGATTAGAGTCTGCCGCTCTTAACCACAAACAAGCACAGCTGGCTCTCAAGAAGGCTCAGCTACCTTCTCCTCAGCCGCTCCTCCCCTCAGAATCGCTGTCTTTTGGGGCTACTTTCCATGAGCAGGAACCCATGAGCCTCTGCGACATGCATATGCACGTGGCTTGTCCATAAGAGGCGTTTTAATGGTTTGTACTTGGCACCTACATTATCAAAACGGCAGATGAAGTTTTGAATGTTGGTGGGGAAAATTCGGAGCTGAAATCCCTGTTTTGCCCTGAAGCTCACCGGGAGGGTCTTGGTCAAGGCACCTTCATGCAGCTTGAATTACTTCACGAGATGGTTGAGATGGTAACATAAGACCCTTCTTGGAAGAAGGACAGATTTAAAATGTGATAAATAATCAGAGCTCCTGTAAAACAGGTAAGGTTGCCACGGCCCCTTTGGCCATTGGCACGGGATGAGGGTTGGGTAGGAAAGTCAGTTCCAGATCGGGGAACTCCTAGACATTTGGGGGTGGAGCCTGGGGAGGACAGGGACCTCAGTGGGGTACAATGCTCCAGTTCCACCCTCCAAAGCATCAATTTTTCACCCAGGGGAACTGATGTAATCTGGAGATGAGCTGTAATTCCAGAGGTTCCCTAGGTCCCACTAGGAGGCTGGCATCCCCCCAAACAGGAGAAACTCAGATGTTTTTTGTGTCCCAATGCTAGTGGTCGCTAAACCAGGGTGAGCAAAGCTTGGCTGACATGAAGTAGTGACTCCTCTCTTCGAAACCGAAGTGACAACATAGAGCGAATTGGTATGAAATCTGACAAACGTAAGAAGAGCTCTGCTGGGTTACCTGGTTCATCATCTTGTTTCTGACAGAGGTCAAACAACCATCTCTGGGACATACTATGAAGTCAATAGTCTTTCCCAGTATATGACTTGTATAGTGGCTCTGAACCCGAATGTTCCATTTAGCCAGCCACTAGCAATTGATAGACTTCATCCTTCATGAATTTAACTAAAGCTGTCTAAACCAGTGGCCCTCACCATATTTTCACCCACACGAACACACATGAAGCTGCCTGATACTGAATCAGACCCATGGCCCATCTAAGTCAGTATTGTCTACTCAGACTGGCAGCAGCTCTCCCGGATCTCAGGCTTGGGGGTCTTTCATGTCACCTACTGCCAGATCCTTTTCACTAGAAATGACAGGGGATTGAACCTGGGACCTTCTGCATGCCAAGCAGATGCTTTACCACTGATGGCCCCTCCCAAAGAACATATGAATTTTGCCAATGGACCAAATAGCCTCTCCCGCCAGATTGTTTCAGGTTGGAAAAACATAGAATCATAGAGTTGGAAGCTGGCCCGTAGGCAACATGGGGCCCACGGGGCCTGGCCCCCTAGTGTTTCTTCTGGGCCCCCTCACCCCTGGGCTGCCCCCAAAGTGCTCCAACTTACCACCTGCACTGTACTTCCATTTAATTAGCGGGTGGGACCCCCGAGGCCCCCTCCCCAAAAAATCCCTAGCTATGGGGCTGGTTGGAAGGGACCTCCAGGGTCCAACGCCCTGCACAATGCAGGAAATTCACGAATACCTCCCCCCACACCCCCAGCGACCCCTGTTCCATTGCCCAGAAAATGGACACCCCCCAAAAAACTTTCCAGGATCCCTGGCCAAACTGGCCTCGAGAAAATTTGCTTCCGGTCCCCAAAGTGGTGATCAGCATTTCCCTGGGTGTGTAAGAAAGAGCCACCAGAACTAAGCACTGAGGCTGCCCTTCCTGCCCTCCCTCTCATGATCTGCCAAAGTTCACAGAAGCAGCATTGCTGTCAGATGGCCATCCAGCCTCTGTTTGAAAACCTCCAAAGAAGGAGAGCCCACCACCTCCCGAGGAAGCCTGTTCCACTGAGGAACTGCTCTGTCAGGAAGTTCTTCCTAATGTTTAGCCGAAAACCCTTCTGATTTAATTC